TCAGTAACCTACAAAATACATGTTGGTTTTTTTGGTACTGAAATGAAGAGAAAACCTTGAAATATATATTTATAAATTTTATTTGTAGTTTTTTTATTTTATTAACCTTCAAAGTGAAATAAAACATGATGTTACTCTCAAACATTATTTTGATCATTTCTTATTAAATAAAAATATATGGTCGATCACTCCACCCTTAAGTATTTGGATGAAATCATCATTAAAAATCTAAATATATAATATAAATTAAATATTTGTATATAAATTCAAAACAAATTAAATATATATTTATATATTTTTTGTTAACTCACATCAAGTTTTGATCTTTTATAATAATTATTTATTTTTTTATTATTGGTTTCTTTGTCTTCATATTCATCCTTGTCATCATCACTATTTAAACCATTATTTAAATGTCTTCTATACTAAGATTCGTCATTTTTATTCACTTAAAAAAAAAAGATTAAACAATTAATATAATGTTATAATAAAACATAAAGTGTGTTGCAAAAAAAATTGCATGTGAATTATAAAATTGGTTTTTATAATAAATAAAAAAATACATTTGTTTAATGATTACCATTTTTGTAAATGTTTATTCATTTCTCTTAAATCATCTTTACAAAAAAGAAAATCTTCCTACTTCATTGTTTACTTCATTTAAACCTTGTGTTTATCGATCATTTTTTTTTAAATTGACAAAACGAAATAAAACGTTTTTGAACCCCGGTCTCGTGACCAGAAAATATCACTAACACGTTGTGTGACAAGCCTTTGACGATCTGAGGTAAAGGTTCCAAGACAAGACCATCAGTTTTTGGTCATTTTGAACGGTCCGAAACGTCGGAGCAAGACGAAAACCTAACGGTAGACAGCGGTCGACACCACGCAAAAAACATCTAAAGCGAAGCACAATTTCCTTTTGGTCAAATATCTGTTTCGCTCAACCCTGACGTTTTGAACCAAAACAGATAAGTTTTTCAGTTTCACAAATCATGACAAGCAGATAACAATTGGGATTCATACGATACGGTGACGTAAAATAACCACAACCATTTATCATTTTTTTGGAAAACGAAAATATTTCTGTTCAAATTTCAATTTTATTAACAAACAAATTTCAAATCAATTTGCAAATCATTTCAAGCCAGCGCAGCAAAGAAAAAAAAACGACTCATCACAAAGTTTTACCTTTGATTTTGATCTCACCCTTCCCCAAAAATTCAGTTTACCAAAGTTGAGAAATAGGACGTTTAGAATATTCTGCTAATTCGTATCGTAACTGAACTGAACAGAACAGAATATTCTTTAAAAATGAATTATTTCCCGTGCAACCAAACATTTCAAAATTGGGTAAAGTCGTTAGATTAGGAAAACATACAAAAAAGGGGAAATATCACACAAAATATAAAAAATCTACACAAAAATTACAACATTTAGTAGGGCACCGTAACATGGAAACCTTTTCTTCTTTTATATATGTTAATGTTAATGTTAAGTTAAAATATATTGAATAGTTATCTATCCCTTCGATATTCTTGCAGGCAAATTTGCCTGCGAACTTTTCGAAATCACATTATCTCAAGTAAAAATATTTTAATTTTAGTTTATGCACTAGAATTTTTTGATTTTCTTATTTCTTGCCTTTTTGGAAATTTTTAGTTTTAAATCATCTGACCATAATGACATCATGATAAATCCTTGTGAAAAAATTCCTTTCGCCAATCATTTTTCTGAAGAAAATAATTTTTTAAAAAAATCTATTATATTAAAAGCGTTGGGTTCACGTGAGCGTAAGGTTTAGAATGGCGCACATGCATAAATAAACGTAACGTTTAGAATGGCGTGCACGTATAAATAAACGTGACGATTAGGCTGTCACGCATAAATAATGATTTTTGAATTTTGAATTGTGCAATAATGCAAACGTGTCTATCTGTTATTTGTAGGACCGGGAAAACTCTATTGTATGTGACCGCCAAATTAAATGACAATGCGAATCTTAGTTTTTTATAATTATGCGAATCAATTTTCCGAACACATTTTAAAATTATTAATAATACAAATCAAAATATATGAAATTTATCTTTGTTGATTTAAAAATATTTAAAAGAAAGTTTTGTGTCTTGACTGACTAAAATGATTATAAATTAAAATGTTTCATCATCTACTGCAATCAAACAATGATTAATATTAGAATAAGAACGTATTCCCAAAAAATAAACTACTTCTTGTGGTGTAATATGAATTGTAATGTCTCCTGCCAAATTTTCACATTAAAAATACCGTTGTGATACAGGAAGATAGGCCTTAATAGAAATATATGATAAATGATCTAAAAATCCTGCCGGCTTTTCTACCCATGAATGTCCTTGCCCACATTTTTCATTAAACATAATAACTTTGCCCAAACACTTGAAAGCTAGGGTATGTAGTAAAACGTTTTTGGCGTGAATCATAAGGAAAGTTTTTTATTATTTTTATTATGACTTTTCATTTTAAATTTTTAAATTTTATTATTGGTGACATTTTTTTAATTTTTAAATTTTTTTATCAATATTATTTATTAAATAATGCGAATTATAATGTAACCGATAATATAAATAATAATAATAATAATAATAATAATATATGTCTATTATATTAAAAACGTTGTGTTAACGTGTTCTAAGGTTTAGAATGGCGCGCACGCATAAATAAACGTAACGAGCATGATGGACATTCGTATATTACACAATCACCAATATACATTTCAATTGAAAATTTTAAAGTACTATTACCCCATTCGGAAGGTGAATGGACGAACACTAATTAACATGTGTAGTAATATAACCTTTCATCTTTTAAAACGTTTTCCGTGTCAGATCAGACCAGATCATACCTTCCTCGACTTCAATACATAATAGTGAAAAATACCAAAAACTAGACAATACGTACCTTGTAAAGAAACTAAAACTGAAAATTTTAGAACAATAAATGAAGGAAGGATGCACAAGGCAGTCGTTCTATAATTATTGTTAAATTAATGGGTATTAGATAACATGAATAAAAATTTGTTTCAGATATCTATTTGATAAAAACTTGTATATTTTTATAATTGGTTAAATACTGGGCTAGCAAAATACATGCAACGATTTAGTTAAGCTTCCTTTTCGATACCTCCTTCTCCATCACCAGCTGCAACTTAATAAATAGGAATGGGCCAACTAAGTATTTATTAAGAAGATACATAAAATATAGGCATAAATTCTAAATTCCTGATTCATAAACGTAATCATAATTTGACGGAATTGTGAATGACCTCATAAGCGCAAACTGTCCTTCCATATTAACAACATCTTGATCTCAAATAGATATCCATGCATACCAAATACCACACAATTATTATTAAGTATAAATAAAATGCGTACTATTGAACATAATAGTAAATATTTATTATTGAACCCAATGCTTGCGTGCATCAATCCAGCCAACAAAATTATCGAATGCTCGAGAGTGTTCAGCACACTTATTGCTGGAATAGGTTTACAAGATGAAGCTTTCAACATTATTGTTATAGATAATATTAATAAACAATCATTTTCAAATACCAAATACTGTCATCAGGAAATTAATTTAGCGTAAACTTGCATAAATCTTACGATGCTGACGTAATATTGTGTAAATCTTACAGTGCCGACGTAAGTTTTACACTTTTTTATTATTAAACTTACAATTGACATGTGTAAAATTTTTTTATATTTTCCGGATGGTATTTACAACAGCAACATCAGGTATTTGTTATTCCTTTACACCAGGAAATCTTCATTTTTGTTTTTCACTAAAGAATATATAGAGGTTGCACTTGATGAATAATATTCATTGAATATTCGGTGAATATTCAGTGAATAACTGATAATCAATATGAATTGAAATGAATTTTCTCATCTCCAAATAAATTCTAATCCATCTGTTTGTAATTAATCAAATATTTCATTTCCATTCATTTAAAATGAAAGAAGAGCATTCAGTCACTATAAATAAGAAAAAGTAATAATACAATAATGAAAGGGAAGGAAAGATCCTTCTGCTGCTCTAAGAAGTCAAGTTGGATATTGAGAAATGATCCATTATACATGATAAAAATAGATCTCCGGGATTGTCCAAACACTTGTGCGCACTTGCTACGTTCACTCCAAGTGGGAGAGGTTATTTAGTCAAGCTGGAAGTTCAAAAAGGAACAAAACTTAATCCACTATGGTTTTGATAGAATGTAAAATGATTAATAAATTTAAAATTTTTTGTTAACAATGAATATTCACTAAATAATCAATGAATAATCATTCACTGAATAATTAATTTAATGATCAAATGAATATCTGAATATTTTAATTATTGACCAAATGAGATCAAAATAAAATGGTTTCGTGCACAAAAATCACAGTGGATTTCACCAAGATCAACTTAACCACAATACACAAAAAATAATTTTTTATATGTTAAGGAGAGGTTATTTTTATTAAATATATACACCTCTATTCAAAACTATTCTTAATTTTATTGAGTATCATATAAAAAGTATTTCATCCATATCATCTTCCGTTACAGGTGTTAAATCATCATCAGGTGAATGTATCCATTCTCCTAAACCTTCAATATCATCATCAACTAAAGAATAAAATTTTTCTGAATACACAACTTGAGATTCACTGTGTAATATATGAATTTAATGACAATAAAAAAAAATTTAGGAATTCAATTTGATTCAATTCGTTCAGAGCCTTAACTAGATTCCCCTGCTTGTTTGCTATCTTTTTCATCTTCTGTCTTTATCGTTATTTTCGTAATAATTTCTGAATAATCTGCCTGGAAGATTACACCAAGCCTTTTAGTTATTGAATTTTTTCATATAAAGCCTTTTCCGTTGTTTTCTTAACAAGATGTATTGTTGTGTTGAAGGCAAACCCTTTAATTATATTACCAAATAGAGCTTGGATCCGGATTGTAAATCCTTAGGACATTGATATCATGGATATTCACAGATATCTTATCCATTTATCAAAACTCCAAGCTCTAATGCCAAACAAACTGTTTATGTATAACATATAATCAATTTTCAACACATGTATTGTTGCACAACATTCCGAATTGTAGGGCAGGGTGTTCATTCACAATACTTGATGAATTCAAAAATAATGAGAATTGTATAATTTTTGATTATGTAAATTAGTAAAATGAATAATTACAGTGTGTTGCGAAAAAAATTGCGCGTGAATTATAAAATTGGTTTTTATAATAAATAAAAAAATACATTTGTTTACATGATTACCATTTTTGTAAATGTTTATTCATTTCTCTTAAATCATCTTTACAAAAAAGAAAATCTTCCTACTTCATTGTTTACTTCATTTAAACCTTGCAAACATGGTCAATAAAGAACTTGAGGTGCAACGTCAAACAATTCTACATTACTGGCTAAATGGAATTTGTACTGCCAAAGAAATACATGAAAAAACAAAGTTCTCCCTTTGTACCATTCAGTACAATATCAAAAATCTCAAAGAAAAAGGTATTATTAACCATATTGGCAGTAATGGTCACCGTCCTAAGGTTACACAAACTGTTTCGCAGTCAATCAGGCAATTAGTTCACCATAATTCTGCAATTAAAACACGCCAACTTGCAGTTCGAATTCAAGATACACACAATATATCTATTTCACATACTAATATCTGGTGACACATGGCAAAAAAGGGTATAATAGTGCCATACCACTTTCCACCCCAATGCTTACCATTAGTCATATTGATGCTCGAAAAACATG